TTTCTTTTTGCTTATGTGGTGCTGAGGAATGGAACCCAGGGCCTCATGCATGCAAGGCAAGCGCTCTACCACTGAGCCACCTTCCCAGCCCATCTCACAGATTTTTTTCAAACTGGGCTGGCTTCCAACCATGATCCTTAGATCTCAGCCTCCTGAGTAGCCAGGATTACAAGTGTGAGCCAAGCCTGGCTCTGCAAACTCCTAATTCCAGTCTTCCCTCTGCTTCCCCAGCACTTCCAGGTGCAAGGGCTACAGACATACAGAGCTACATGGACCTGTTGAACCCGGAGCTGGGCCTCCCTCAGGGCAAGAAACCATTTCCACCCATGTTCTCTCAGCCATCCCCAACCCTGGGCTCTGAGATGCCCCCACCACCACCAGGCTACCCAGCTCCGAAGCCTCCTTCCGGGGTCCTGGCAGCTGACATCTACCTGCAGACCAAGAACAAGCTCCGCCACGTGGAGAAGGACACCTTTAAGAAGGAGGTAGGGACCTGCCTCCCAGCTGTGGGACTATGCTGATGTGTGGGTGGGTGGGGGGGAAGCGTTTCTGGCTGAATCCTGGTCATAGGTGGCAGCCCCTGGACCCAGGGCATACTCCGTGAGTTGAAAATCCAGGTCCCAGACCCATGAAGGCTCAGGGCTGTACCCTGAGTTCAAGGGGCTAAGACAAAGCCACTGCCTGCAGCTGGGGACTGGCACATGCTGCCTGTTGAGTGCAGGGCTGTCTCAGAATTGACAGAATGAATGTGGACTGACTTGCAGACACGCCCATGCCCACAGCCATGGGCTCAAGTGGATGTGTCTTCCAGATAGGAGATGCCCCTGGCAAGGCCTGCGGGTGAGGGCTAGGGGGAGAGGCGAGGGAGCTGGACGAATGCTACCAGGACCCAGCACCCAGTGGCCAGGACGGCTGACAGAGAAGCTGAGGCCACTCCCACTTGCAGCCTGAGCTCTGGTGGGTGGAGGAGTCAGTGGGGAGAAGCAAACGTGAAGGGTGCAAGCTAGGGGTGCAGGTGATTTGTGGGGCGCAGGAGGACCCAGGGTCTGCTGGCAGAGCCTAGGGGGCAAGAGAGGGGCCGACAGCTCCTGGAGTCCTGGATGGGAAGTCGAGAGGGTCCTATGTATTGGCCCAAAGAGATGGACTAAGGCTGGCCTGGGAACAACCCGAGACCACAGGTGGCCAGGGATGGGGTGTTGACCCCTCAGGCTCCCTAGAGTCCCAACCGAAGGCAGGCCTCGTCGGGGTGGAGCTCAGTACTATTTGCACAGGTGAGCCAGACCACAGGTCACCAGACCACTGGGTGGAGGAGGCCCGGGGACTGGGCTGCCTCCCTGGGACTGCGCGCTTGCCCACTTCCTGCCATCCCAGAGTCGATTCCCTTTTGATCTCTGGACCGAAGGTGTGTGGGGGGGGGGCGGGCTGCAGAGGCCTGGGACCAGCCCACTTTCCCCATCGGGCCTGGCGCATGGGCCCTGGCCAAGCCATGGGACAGACACTCCAAGCCAGCGCTCACCCCTGAGCCCAAACGCCCGCAAGGAGCACAGTTATTCATCCACAGAGTGGGCAGGCCATGTGTTGAAGGTCACACAGCTAAGTAAGTGGGGAAGAGGACATTTGAAGCCCTTGTCCCAGACTGGAGCTCCTATGTCCCAGCCTCTGTCATCTGTCACCCAAGAGGACAGGACTGGATGCCCTCAGTGCCCAGCAGTGTTGGCCAAGAAAAGAGCCTTCAGCCTGCCCACAAGTCATGTGCTGAGGCTCCCCCTGGGCTCATGGAGTGGGCAGCAGGGCCTGAACTAGGTGGGGTAGCCGGGGGCAGCTGGTCCCCTCACCCAAGCAAGGCCCAGCTGCAGCAATGACAGATCCAAGCCACCAAGGATGCTGGCCCAGAAAAGGCAAACACTCCCGAAGAGCCCCTAATTACAGGGCCAATGAGCGCAGCCGCCCGAGAGCCGTTACCTGGTACCAGGCTGCCTCCCTCTCCCGAGGGGCCTGTGACACTTCTCAGGCAGGGAGGGGCATGGGGCAGGGAGGAGTCACATCTGGGCAGGAGGCAGCAGAGCAAGCAGGCTCACCGGCGGCGAAAGGGACAACATGGGCAATGTAAGCAGAGCCCCTGCCCCAGCCTGCCCCAGCCAGAGTCGT